TAGCAACGAAAATAATTTTATGGTTGGGTCACAACATGAGGAGCTGTATTTAAAGGGCCAGAAGGTTGAGAACCACTGCCTTAGAGCGTTTACATGGACTGTCCGCTTTATTTCTCGTAACAACCCTGAAAAGGAGTGCGGTTTACATAACACGATGGGAAAGGCGTGAAAAGATCACTGAGAGGAGCCTGGGGACTTTGGGATGAGAAACATGTCCGTCCACAGAATGTTCCTTGAGAGCACTGCCGGGAACAGAGAGAGATCGGTCGTGGTTGGATCGTAACAGCTTGTTTGTTTGTTTGTTTTGAATGTCTACCTCTTCTCTGTTCCCATCCACACCAAGAACGGGCTAGTAGAGGAGCCCTTGGACGCGTCCATTTTGCAGTGTGGAGGGAGACATCGTAAACGGACCCTCCATGAAAACACAGGAGACTAACACTAGCCGGTTTCATTGCCGCCCAGTAGCCATGAAGTTGCCTCATTAAGGAGGAAACAGCAAATGGTCCTCATCAGAGTAATCAGGAACGCATTCGGGACACTTTTATCTCTTAACTGTAATCAAGACTTGCACTTTATTACCAGGACGTTTCTGCAATACCACATTTACAGGTTATCTGTACAGGATGGTGATTAAAATAATACTTATTTTTAAGCCACAGCACCACACACACACACACACACACACACACACACACACACACACACACGTTAACTTAGGTACACGTTATTATTTGACTTAAAACACTTCACTGGTACCCCACTACTTTAAAGTTGACATTTTATCATTCTTTTTAAAACACATTTTATTGATTTGTTAGAGAGGAAGGGAGAGGTAGAGAGACAGGGAAACATTGATGAGAGAGAAACACCAATCGGCTGCCTCCTGCACGCCCCCTGCTGGGGGTGGAGCTCAAACCTGGACATGTGCCCTGACCAGGAGTCAAATCAGTGACGCTTTAGTGCATGGGGCGATGCTCAACCACTGAGCGACCAGCCCGGCTACATGTTCTCATTCTTAATACACACACTGACCTGATCTTTAGTCTCCAACCTCGCCTCCTATCACGTCCCAGATGCCTTTACTTCTAAGCGCACCAGACTGTGCAGTGCCTCTGCCCGCCGCGCTGTGCTGTTCTAAGCACTGTGTCCCCCCGAAGCTTTCCTCGATCCCTTCAAGCAGATTCAATGCTTCCAGTGTGCTGAGTGAGTCAATGAATAGAAAGCAATACCGGCGACCTGAATAAGTTAGACCACTAGATGTGGAACATGCTACGTAGCCTCTCTATATGTTTCTAGTTTGATGAAAATGTTTTCCCTTTCAGTCTGGAGAAAAATGGAGGGCCATGCATAAATCTTCTCTCCAGAAAAGGTAATTGGTTTTTCTTATCTCTCCGGGGTGCCTTCTGGCCCTGGCACTCTGTAATCCTTTGTTCCATGTATAAACATTCAAAAAGGTGGGGCTACTGAAAAGGCGACCTGCAAGCGTTTGTGTTTGGAATGCTGTACACCTAACATGTCTTCCCATATAAGCCAATGTGACACATCATTTTTTAAAAAAAATACGTTTTTATTGATGTCAGAGAGAAAGGGAGAGGGAGAGAGAGATAGAAACATCAATGATGAGAGAGAATCATTGATTGGCTGCCCCCACACCCCACACTGGGGATCCAGTGCAAAACCCGGGCATGTGCCCTGGCTCACAGGTCAACGCTCACGCCCTGAGCCATGCCGGCCGGGCTTACACTTTAAGGCCTTCCTCCCCAACACCAGTCGGCAGAAACTCCTCCTCCTTCGCCCTTTCTCACAAGCCATGCACAGTGCTAAGTCGTCACGGAAACAGCACGTACTAGTAAGTATGGCTCAGCCACGCCCTTGCTATTGTTCTGTGCCGTGTACACCTTGTCTCGTGAATTCTTAGGGCACAGACCACCTTTCCCTTACACTCCGTACAGTGTCACACACGGTGGGGGGATGCCCTGGAAACCCAAGTCCAGACCTGATAATGGTACCCATCCGGCCCCCGTAGACAGGCTAGGAAAAATGACTTGTTGATTTCACGTTTAGCTTAGTGCTTGCTCGAGTGTGCTGGGTGGGGGGCCAGATTCCGTCTTGCTTGGTGTAGTCACTGCCCCACAGGGAAAAGCAAGGGCGGGCCATTCGGAGGTCCCTGTGCTCCCATCACGAGTGGGAAGGGAGAGAGGAGGAGAGAGAACAAGGGGAGGAGAGCGAGCCTCATCCACTCCAACTGAGGGAAGCGAGATGTGGGCGGAGGGGAGGCTGTATTTCCGACTATCATGGGTGAAAGGATGTCTGGTGTGGGCACAGCTCCTTCGTCAGTCTCGTTCTTTCTTTACTTTAGTATTGATTTCCAAACAGCCTGGGTGCCAGGCACAGGCTGATGAAGCTTTTGCAGGTGTGTGGCAACATAAGAAAAGATGTGGACAATGGAGAGAGTTTGTGGACAAAGTTAATGTCATTCAAGGGCAACGCCATCCCTTTGAGAGAACGCCTTTGACACTGTCTTTTGGTGTTAAACTATCCCTCCTTTCACAAAAGCATATTTAAAACAGTTGACATTTGGTCTTTTGTTAGTGCCAACTTGGCACAGTAGAAAGTCGGCCACCATGTTTGGCTGCCCCGAGGTTTTGCTGTCACATGAAAGCCTGGAAGCTGCTGCGCTGTCTCTCCGTGTGTTTGGAATGGGGAGGAAACGGAACGATGCAGGGCTAAGGGAACGAGACTGTGGCGATGTCCTGAGGCTCAGACCTTTAACTGTGGCTCTTACTTCTTAGGGAGAGAGCACCGAAGAAAGCTAAGACCAAAAATTCAACCCCGAGATTCCCTGACCTTATTGCCTCCAGTAACTAACTTCATGGGGCTCTTCAAAAGCTCCAAAAAGTCCACTGTGTCGCATAACATTTTTTCCTTTGCATCTGCAACGTCCTCAGATGTCATCCAAGTGTCAAGACCAAGAATAGTGTTGCTGAGCGAACTTGGGAAACACATTCAGAAAGATAACGTTGAGCCTGCAGAAGGTTAATAAACGCATTGCAGTGTGAACCGATTCCTGAGCAACTTTTTAAAACATTTTAATTTTCATTTTGTTGTTATATTTTTATTGATTTCAGAGAGGAAGGGAGAGAGAGAAACATCCATGATGAGAATTATCAATCGGCTGCCTCCTGCATGCCCCACTCTGGGGATGGAGCCAGCAACCCAGGCCTGTGCCCTTGACCGAAATCAAAGTTGGGACCCTTCAGTCCGCAGGCCGACGCTCTATCCACTGAGCCACCCCAGCCAGGGCGAAGTGTTTTATTTGTAATTGTGGTAAAATGCACGTAACATAGTGGCGTCATCTTTTCTAATGGGGGTCCTTGACACTTAGCAGATCGCCCTCAGCCTGTCTCCCGGGTTAAACCAGGCCAGATTCCAGTATCAACAGATAAGTAGAAGTTTCTAGAAGGGAAGTCCTGCACTGACACCAGAGCAGAGCCGCTGGCCAGCGGCATCGTGGGTACCTGTGTCACGTGCTGTAAAGACATTTAAACTGGGACGCTGCCCACAGGGTCACGCTCACGATAATGCCTGGAGGCATCGAAGGATCAATACCACAAACACATGAGGCTTCTCACACCCACAATGTGTGCCTTTAAACATTTATTTAAAAAGAAAAGCCCGAGCTCACGACCACCGGGTACAAAGGTGTGGCTGAGAAATATGGCGGCCACCTTGACCACTGCCACGCCGACTGAGGGCCTCCTTCGGGGAGTCACGGAGAGGCTCCCCTGTGGCTCAGGACCACGTGGAGGCGGGGGCAGGAGAGTTACTCATGGAATTCCCCGAAGGGAAGTGCCTTTAAGGCAGGACCAAGCTAAGCAGTCTTGTCATCGTAGATTTGTATCCTTACCTCCTAGTCCAGTGATGGCGAACCTTTTGAGCTCGGCGTGTCAGCATTTTGAAAAACCCTAACTTAACTCTGGTGCCGTGTCACATAGAGAAATGTTTTGATATTTGAAACCATAGTAAAACAAAGACTTATATTTTTGATATTTATTTTATATATTTCAATGCCGTTTAACGAAGAAAAATCAACCAAAAAAATGAGTGTCATAGGTTCGCCATCACTGTCCTAGTCTCTCCATACAGCAAGCCACTGACTAGACAGTTAACACCTTGTCCCGCATGGATGACATCATATAAAAGCTCCTGGTGAAATCTCTCAAAGGACATCGAACACTCGATAGCAATGTCCTTACAGTTAATGTCGCTCTAATCCAGGCAGGGAGAAGGGGACAGACTGTTAGGACACCTGCAGTACCAAGTTCCAGATTCAAGGAAACCATCCCCAAAAAAAGCCAAACCCTTTTCATCACATACACTTTCATCAACTGAATAAAATTTCTCAAATAATGGATATAAGTATATGTGGTCAACTGAAAAGTGCGGTGCAATAGGGTGGTGAAGGCCTGGGAGGGTTGGGTGCAGGATGGAGGGGATCAATGGGGGGAAAAAAGGTGGGGGGACATCTGTAATACTTCCAACAATAAAGATAAATTAAAAAATGCGTTAAAGGAAACATGCCAAAAAGTTGTTTCTGTTGATAATCTTAAAATAGTGAGGTTGTGGTCTATTGTTACTGTTACTATATTCTTTATATTTTCCTATATTTTCTACAAAGTGCATATAATA